CGTATGGGCACGAACGTCATCGCATTGCTCCGTACACCCTCGAGAAAATCCTTTTTCTCCGTGTTAACAAGCGCCTCTGGGACATTCACACGGTAAATGAATGTCTTTAGCTGATGAGCAATTGACACTGCGGTTTTAGCATGCAGTTTACGCAGGGAATATATTGCAGTTATTGATTTCTTCTGGATCTTGCACTGCATTACTTATTCTATCTGTCTTCAAAGTTGCACGGCATTATTTACGAGCACATGAGGTTTTGTATCAATGAAAATGCCGTATTCGGCATCCGTGGGCTGCAGCTCTCACGATTTCTTCGGACTTTGCACAGATCCGTATGGCCTTGAAGTCTTCACTAGAGATAAAGAAAAGTAAGATTAAACTTTAGCACTGCTGCCGCTCAGCCTCAACGCTCATCCAAGCGGGCTTCAGTCTCTGGAACATGCAAAGACCCGCTTCTCCCAGTTTCACTATGCTCCGTGTTGTCATCGCGCTTATAGCTGTAGTGCCGACTCCCGTTATCGTCACCTCCAATGTGGTCATCGTTGCGTACGACGTCGATACGAATCTCAATTCCAACACGATGCATTGTGTTGCTCATCGCCAGCGGCAGTGAAAAACAAGCATGCCCTTGATGTCGTGTGTGGAAATGCGGGGTACAATGTACCCCGCATTTCACTAGAGTGGGATGTCTCTGAATTTTGATTGGACGAAAACATGTCTCATCCTGGTACGTAATCGACCGTGTGGTCCACACAACCTGTCAACTGAAAGCAGACGCTTTTCACTTCTCGATTCGCCTCTACCGACAACAGTGAAGGCACAAAATGAGCCAGACTTCGATCGATTCAGGTGCGCTCTCGGCTGCTCTACATCACCCCGTGAACCATGGTACTTACCTTCTATATGTAATAACACATAGACTTCTTGTTAAACTCGAACATGGACCTGAACGTGGCCGTGAACGGGCTGGATGACACACTGCCTCTACTGGACATCGACGCCATTGACGGTGTCATGCTGGACCCGTCAGTGGATGATGTGGACCTGAGCTTCCTCTCGGGTCTGCTGCGTGAGAATGAACCCGTGCCGGAGCCTGCGTCGCCCCTATCGACGTCCTCAGAGCTGGCGGTCTCGTCTCCAAGCGCAAAGAGCGACACCAGCGACGACGATTCAACACACTTTTTGGAGCCCGCGGCGGTGGTGGAGGAGTCAAAGCCTGCTATGGGACCCAAGAAAGTGGAGGAGCGCAAGGCCAAACGGAGAGCTCAGGTGGCCATCAGCGCGCGGCGCCACCGTTCCCGCAAGAAAGTGAGTCAATGCATCTAGTTAGGAAGAACAGGGTATAGTTACTTACTGGTGCTGATGTTTGCAGAACGAGATGATCAGCCTGAAAAAAGAAGCTGACTACCTTAACTACCAGCTGGACTTCCTGCGTTCCAAGCACAAGTTGATGCGTGCTGATGGTGCAGTTGCCGAGTGGGAAGAGAAGACTATTGCCCAACGCCACAAGCGTCGCCAAGCAGAGGAACTGAACGCTCAGTTGCGGTACGCATTATTCCAGCAGAGCGGCTACGTACGCAATCTGAAGGCCATGTTCGCGCTCGGATCTCCGAACACCATGGAACTCAACATGCGGCGCTTCCTGCATACCTACACTCATCTGCGCAAAGACCCGCAGTCTCGTGCGCGTGACCTCGCTTCAGTATGCACAGATGCCAAGCTGGAGCTGGGCATGCAAACAGTTCTTCGCGAGACGGAGGGTATCCCGGTCCTGCGTCCGCACATTAGCACTCGTCAGATCAGCACGAGCTCAACCGAGTTTGGTGCGTCCACAGTGGCGGTCTACGCGTTCGACACGATGAACACGGTTCAGATTTTCCTTGCTGCGTGCGTGGCCATTTTGGGTTGCGGCACTGAGTGGCCCAAGTACACGCAGCTGGACTCGTACGGCAAGGTTGTTGACGCACCTTCGGACAGTATTCGGTACGGAGTCTCGGGTTGCCGCTATCGCAGCGATGATGGCCAGGACGAAGTGGCCGTCGAGAGTCGAGGACTGTCGTATTTCAAGATCATGGATCAGTGTGCAGTACTGCTCTGGGACTATGTCGACGATGACGACGCGTACCCGATGAGCAAGAACACTCTGGTCAAGCGCGACATCATTGGAACGTACGTGATAACCCCTGTGTTGATCACATTTGTCTGATGTGATACTTGTGTTAGCAATAGTGTTAACCTTTGCTTGTGTTGTGCTTGCAGTGTGGTTGTTCGTCCTGAGATCTGCGAAGATGGTATCAAGCGCGTGGTCTGCCGCAGCATTTGCACGAAGGTGCACTCGGCCAACATGACGCAGTTGACTCCTGACATTCGCAGATTCTCTGAATCCAAGAAGATGGGTGCGCAGATTTGCGGCTCCATGGTGTACCAGACCATCGTGGGTCGCTGCCCCGACGCCCGACCCATTTCGGCGTAAGAAGTCGTCATGAAGTCGTGGGATTCTTGTTTTTCTTTTATTTGATTATTTAGCCAATGCATTTCATGCGTGGTCGAGGAGGATAGAACTCCTTCGTAACGACAACAAAATTTGCTTTGTTTGCTTGTAAGTGCCGTGAGGAGCTAGCCTGTTTGGATGTCAAGCGTCCAGTACACCAGCAGACTGATTAACTTCATGCGTAACGTCCTGCCATCTTGAGCGTGTGGCCACGTGTTGTGTCGACAGGGCTTTCACTTTGTCTAGTACAGTACCATACCATAGCTCTCTGAAGCTAACTTCCTGATCACAGATTCAAATGTGAGAAATCAAATTCTAGAAAGCGAGATCAACTAAGCATTGATTCAGATTTCTCATATTTCCCTAACCACAGTGCGGGCAGTCTCAATGAGGGCAGTTAGCAATTGCCAGCTGTCCCGAAACTCTGTCCTGCTTTCCATCCGCGATGAGGAATAGCGTTCTGCCTCTGGACGAACCGGGCAGCTCCACCAACGCAGCTTTAGGTACTATGTAGATCACGCGTTAACACCGAAGCGGGCATTCCCCACTAACAAACTGTCATTTGTCTTCACATTCCTAGGTGTAAACGATACTGTCGATTTTGAGGCGCAACAAGGACCCGCCAGTCAAATGGACGACGCTGACTTAACCTTCTTGTCCGAGCTTCTGTCCCAAGATCCGAACATCCCAAATGTCACCGCTCCCACGATCAACTCAGTTCCGTCACCCTCATCATCGAACCACAGCATGGACATGTCCAGTGATAGCGCCGGTAGCGCGAAATCGCCCGAGGACTTGAACGATTCTAGTGGATCTGAGCGGAAGAGGAAGCTGGTGTCGTCACCGGATTCTGCGGACGATGGTTCTTTAACAGAGGACCGGAATGAGAGGCGTAGAATGCTGAGTGCCAAGAATGCTCGACTTTATCGCTCCCGCAAGAAGGTATCCTCGTGCTAGATTAGAAAATAATATTCGCAATCTAATCGTGTTTGTCTTACTGCAGAACGAGCTGGTGACGCTGAGAGAACAAGTATATCGACTCGAGGATCAGTTAAAAGCGTTACGACTCAAACACCACGTGCTACGCGCGGATAGTGCAGTTGCGTGTTGGGAAGAGAAGGCCATTGCACAACGTCTTAGGCGGCGCCAAGCTGAGGAATTAAATGAGCAGCTGAAGCAAGCACTATTTACTCATACCGGCGTTGTACGCGACCTAAGGTCCATTTTTACCGAGTCGGCACCTCCAAGTACGGCACTCAACATGCGGCATTATCTTCACAAGTACACCCACCTCCGAAAGGATCCCCAACTTCGTGCGCGAGACTTGGAAGCTGTTGGTACGGCTGTCAAGATAGATAGAGCTATGCAAGTTGTTTTACGCGAAACTTCGACTATCCCGGTCACTACTGCTCCCGAAATCCTGTTCCAAGAACTCGATCTAGGCACGGAGGGTCTCGGCAAGACCAGCACTGCAGTGTATGCCTTCAATACAAGGAATGCGAGCAAGGCATTTGACGTGGCATGCAAAGCAATACTGAGCACCTGTGGAGTTTGGCCAGATCACTCCCGAATTGAGTCATCGATGAAATTTGTAGAAGTGCCGCCGACGGAATTTAGTGTTCAGTACGGCATCACAAAGCACAGCTACCAGCATAACGTGACGAAGGCTCGAGCATCCACTGAAGCGAGGGATCTGTACTATTCACGTATGATCGGCTCTTGTGGTGTTTTGGTCTGGGACTTCGTCGACGATGACGACTTGTACCCATTGAAGTGCAGCACATTTATCAAGCGCAACACCGTTGGAGCGTAAGTTTGTTTGGATATCGTCGCTAAGGTTATTGTTATGGGTGAATACTAACTCGTTGAACCGGAGCAGATTGGTGCTACGTCCGGAGATGTGCTCGGACGGCGTGGAGCGCATGGTCTGTCGCAATATCTGCACTGACATGCAAATACCAGTGAATTCGCCCAAACCACCACTAAATGTTGCCGAGTTCGCACTGCTGGAAGACATGATGTTGTACGAAAGCATCAAAGAAGGAGCGACGGACTGGCAAGACACTGTCGCGTAGGTAGCAACACAACTCTAGCACTAAGATTACAATTTTGTGTGATACATTTGCAGCAAGTTTAAAAATTATTTGGATCGACTAAAAAAA